TGGGTAATTCTCTTGACCTTTGGTAGACTCATTTTGGAGAGCACTGATTCACTTTATAATGAATTTGTGTAGGTTATTCTCCATTTGACTACTGGAGTAGGTAGTCCAAATTCTGTACACTTAAGACTTGATTTATTAGCTGTTGCTATCAGTGTTGTGCTCACTACATTATGTGATTAAGGGAATGCTCTTTTTTCTGTCCATAGGAAAAGTTTTTAGACATTGTTTATTCCTCATCATAGAGGCAATCATTGGGATGCTTGTTGGAATGATATTTTTTCCTGCAACTCAGTTTTGTCATGAGGAACTTTGCACACTGGTGACTTTCTATAATTCTGATGTATTTTTGGTGAGTCATGTTTTCTGGGGATTTGTCCATATATCTCAACTTTCCAAATTTATTGCAATAGTCACAATATCATCTTTTAAAATATTTTTAAGTTCTCAGTTTTGATTTTTAACATTTTAAGTCAGATATTATTGGTGTCTTCTCTTTAGGAAGTGCTACCATCTCTCTAGAGGTTTGGTAATTTTGTTATTCTTCAGAATAACTACATTTTGACTTTATGTTTCCATAATGCATTTCACAGTACTCAAAGGTTTTTTCCCTTTGTTCTTACTAAGAAATTTTTTGAACTTAGTGAAAAATCAATGATAATATAAAATATCCTTTCCTCTTTAGAATTCATTATAATTCTGCTATCATACATTATTCTGCCCAGTTAAACCCTTGTACTGTATTCTCATTCGGTTCAGTGTTTGCTGTATGGCTGCATAGATAACATGGTGCACATTCTAGTGAAAATGGAGGTTGGGCATTTGATAGAGATGCATGTGTTGGTCAAGGCATTGCGTGCAGAGGGTGAACTGAGCTGCTCAACTTCATTGTCTGACGCCCCCTTTGCTTGGTGGTTCTGAAATTGCATTGCCTTTGCTTACGTGTCTTACTACAATGGTGGATTCCCCTCCATGTTCTGATCCTTTCATGTTTTTGCATGTTTAGTGTTGATTCTCACAGATTTACAACCTTTGTTATTGTCATGTGCACTTCATTATATCCAGCTCTTTTGTTCCATAAATGTTTGTTTTCCAGTGTTATTTGGCATGCACCTGCTTTCTGTTGCAAGGTTTGTATTTTGTTATATTCCTTTATTTTGGACTTTGTCTTTCTTCTTTATTGGACATGTTTCTTCTACAAATGTTGTAATGGTTATGAAGTTTCTTGCATCTAACATTTAAGGGACACACTTATGTCTAGAGGTCAACATTGGCCCTATGTATCATGCCCCATTCAATTACTTTTGGACTGTGCATTTGTATTTATATAGATGCATTGGACGGCACATACTTGGGATGTGGTATTTTTGACTCTTGCATTCTCTCTGTAACTTTGTGATTTAGCCTGTTTTCAGTTTTGTGGTGGTATAATTGGTAGATGAAAGCCTATTTGATAGCTAAAATATTGGGATTACTTGACATACACTTGATATGAGTACTACAACTAAGTTCATTAGCATGTCATTCACCTTCCATAGAAACCTTATATGTTAGTGGGAGCATTGTAAGAGTTTTGTTGTGAGCAAATTTAAATAATATAGTACATTATTATCAAGTTGTTCAACTCATATTGCAGCAGCTATCCAGAAAGTATTCATTTGCTAACTGTAAGTTTGTGCCCTTTCACTAACATCACTCTCCCCTACCTCATCATTCCTGAGAATCACCTTTCCTCTGTTTCTCAAACTTTGATCTTTTATAGTCCATATAGAAGTGAGATCATAACTAGAAATCTATATAGAAAAGAATGGTAATGTGTGCATGACAAAGACAATTGAGAAGAGTGTCTCTGAGAGAATGATATAGGAAACAACTCCAAAGACCAACAAACATAGATTTTAAAGTTATTAATTTAGAAGTCACCCTCAGTGACTGCCATACCATTCCTATTCTCACTATATTTGTGAACCAACTCACTCTGTTTCCCTTAAAAGTGTTCAAAAGATGTTTGGTGAAAATATTGATTTTAGATGTGCTGCAGAGAGAAAAACTCAGTGATGATTTGCTAGATTGGGCTCATCAACTGTCATGTGACTTCATGGGGCCCAAAAGTTCTGTGGCTTGAGCTATCCTGTGCATTGTGGGAAACTTAGTGTGTGGTGAGAAATTTAATAGCAATCTTGGCCTCTACCCACTAAGTGACAGGAGCGCTGCACCAAGTGTGAGACCAAACATGTCTCCAACCACTGCTGGTTGGATGAGGGGAGGAAAAATAGCTGCACTTGAAAACTCTTGCTACTTCCTACTGTATTTTAAAAATGAATTATATATTTAGAGTGTCATAATATGTGAGTGGTTAAATGATTTCTGTCTTGAAAGAATTGTGTCTGCAATCTAAATTGTAAAAAAGAAGTTCAGGTATTCATAGTACTGTACATGTATCAGAAATGTAGTGTTCTTTAGAATGGATAGGATATACACATATCATCAGAGGTAAGAAGTAATCTAATACTCTGAAGACAAAAATCACTTTTAATGTAATTTGTCATTCACAGATGCCAGTATGCCCTAATAGGAATGTAGGACGTGAACATCTGGTTTCACCTTCTTCATATCACTTATTTCTGTAGTCTAAGTTTCAAACACTGCCCATTACTCAGTTCCTGGAAGTTGCAGAGACAAGTCTGAAAGAAAATTTGAACATTTGTCTTTCTGTCCCTAATACTGAACTGTCAGTCTTCACATTCTTCAAAGGTTCCTTGTTAAAAACATCATGTCATGGCCAGAGCCGTGCCTCAGTAGGCTATTCCTCCACCTGCAGCACCTGCACACTGGGTTCTAGTTCCAGTAGGGGCATCGGATTCTGTCCTGGTTGCTCCTCTTCCAGGCCAGCTCTCTGCTGTGGTCTGGGAAGGTAGTGAAGGATGGCCCAAGTCCTGGGGCCCTGTACCCACATGGGAGACTGGGAGAAGCACCTGGCTCCTGGCTTCGGATCAGTGCAGTGCGCCGGGTGCAGTGGCCATTGGGAGGAGAACCAATGGAAAAGGAAGACCTTTCTGTCTGTCTGTCTCTCTCACTGCCCACTCTGCCTGTAAAAAAAATGTCACAGTACAATCTATTTATTTTTCAGTGGATGCAAACTTATGTAACTGAAAGGTCATTGACATGTTTCCAGGTGACAAAATTTTGAGTGTTTTTCTCATAGCTCAGATCTTTATTGGTGTCATGGCCAACTTATTTCTCTTCATAATCTATGTTTATGCCTTCCTAATCCAGCCTCAGCTGAAGAAGCCCATAGATTCCATTTTCATGCACCTGACAGGGGTCAATATGGTAACCATTGTGTTCCAGTCAATACCAGACATCATGTCATCCATTGGAGTTAAACATTTCTTAAATAATGCTGGCTGTCAAACTGTTTTTTACATCTACAGAGTTGCCCGGGGTCTCTCCATCTGCACCACCTCTCTCCTGAGTGCTTTTCAAGCCATCACTATCACTCCCAGTTATTCTAAATGGGCAAGGCTGAAATCTAAGTTGTCTACCTGGGTTTTCCCCTCTTTCCTTTTCTTCTGGATCATCAACATGCTGATCTACATCCACATCATTGAAACTGTAAGAGCCAAATGGAATTTCACTGTTGTTGGACATGGATTTGTTCATGCATACTGTCAAACCAGGCAGTCTGGAGATCGCCATAAAGGGTCATTTATAAGTGTCATTGTGACTCATGATGTCCTGTTTGTGGCACTGATGATTGTGTCCAGCCTCTACATGGTGGGCCTCCTGTACAGACACCAAAGGAGAGCCCAGCACATCCACAGCTCCAGCCTTTCCAGGCAGACATCTCCAGAAAACAGAGCCACCCACACTATCCTTTTGCTGGCATTTTGTTTTGTGTTCTTTTACTGTTGCCACAACTTTATGGACATTTACGCATTTTACAGACCTGAGAAAGACTCAAGGATGGTGGGCATTACTGGAATATTATCATCATGCTACCCAACATTCTGCCCATTTTTGCTGATGAAAAATAACAAAAATATTCCCAAATGGACTTCTTCCCTTTAATGATGAGAATGCCTTTTTCTCCAAGAGCTTTCCTTGGTTGATCTGACATCATTTACCGCAGAGATTTTATGAGGAAACAAAGGCAGGTGACCATGGAAGTAATCTCAATTGAAGTATTTGGCTCATTTAAAAAACACATTTTGAAATGTTAAATTGTTCAATGTGAATTAATGCTAGAACTAGTACTCAAACAGTATTTTACACTTTATGTTTCTGTATGGGTGCAACTGTTGAAATCTTTACTTAATATATACTAAATTGATCTTCTGTATGTAAAGAGAATTGAAAATGAATCGTGATGTGAATGGAATGGGAGAGGGAGTGGGAGATGGGAGGGTTTCCGGTGGGAGGGAAGTTATGGGGGGGGAACCATTGTAATCCATAAGTTGTACTTTGGAAATCTATATTTATTAAATATAAGTTAAAATGTTAAATTGAATCAATATATAAATTTTCAAATGGTATACATATTTAAGTTATACTTTGGGTTTAATTAATGTATTGTCTATTATTAAAGCTACTTACTTCTGCTTTTAATGCACCTACTAGAAAAATGCAAAATCGTATTTGGCGCTTGCCTCATATCTGTTCAGCTGTGCTGCTTGTAAGAACTTCCATATTCACTTACAAAATTTTAACATCCAGGTCTCATTTTTCAGGGACTTGGCTAGAGGTTGGATGTGCATCAAGTGACCTCAGGAGATAAAACACAGGAATTCCTAAAGAATGGGATGCAGGAAACATAAATGTCCCTGTGTAAAGAGCTCAGAAAACAGAGGTGATGAAGATGGGAAATCCAGGAGGTTCATTGTTTAACAGACAATGAAATGCAGGGGTGTCTCCCAGCATGTGCATAAATCCTTCCATAAGATCCCCTCCCCTTCTCATGCACATATCTGTGTTATTAGGATCCAGTCCCTTGTGCTGTCCAGGAGTTGTGTGCTGCAGTTAAATACCCACCAGCAATGGCCTAAGGCTTTCCCAGTGGTTGGGTTGTAGAGACTTTCAGTGTATTTACTTCATAAAATCTTTTGAATAAATATAATTTTTTCCCAATTTCATCTTCCCTGTCTTAAAGTCTCTAACCCACTTAACTTGCTGTTCCGTTCTGTTCCTCAGGGACATCAACACGTGCTCTGCAGCTTGAATCCTAGCACATGTCTTTGTCCCCAAGGCTGATGGATTTCACCTTACATTTCCGTTAGATTCCGAGGGTTGGATCCCAGTCTTTTCAGGAGCTCACAGTTCCACTCTCTTCAGTTTTCTGTGGTTCCAACCCATTATCTAACGCCAGAAAGAGGCTCTTCCTGTGAAGAAACTCAGTTTATTACAGAAGCTCATAAAATCTGTGCTTTATCCTGTTGTGTCAGGGTGACATTTGGAAATACCCCTCAGCGACCTTCAACTAAGAACTGGTCCATCGCTTAGTGGTGGTCTGCCCTCCACCATTGCCTCTTTCCGCTCCGGGATTTCTCTGGTCCTGAGCAGATGTGACTGCCTCCTGGACGGCTCTCCACGTCCCCCTCTGCCCTCGTCATGGTTTCATTTAGTTGATCAGTGCAGTTTAAAATAGTCTTTTCCTTGAATTACCAAATCCAATTCTAGTTTTGTGACCGCCTCTCCTCTCCTTCAGAAGTAGTTTTGAATGTTGAAGTTCAGCAAATTCTCCGAAATTTCCTGTTCCACGGATTTTCGCAGTGGACCCCATGAAGCAGCACCCAGATCCAGAAGCAGAACAGCGCTGCTGCCCCCATCCCTCACGACCCCAGTCTCCACCACGCCCCGTCCTTGTCTGGTCTTGTGCTGTTGCCAGTTCATCCATGAGGTGGTCTTACGTGCCCTGCGACCTCTCGGAGGTAGTCTGTGTAAGAGCGCCTCTGTCCTGGGTCTGTGTAGGCTGTAAGAAAGTTGAGGGGTCTCCCGCTCAGGCGCTTGGCCACGCAGAGGTGACATCGCAATTCCGGGTCTGCTGGCTGGTGCTCAGGCTGTGGAGCCGCTCAGGAGGCACCGCCCTGAGGGCGCGGGGAAGTGACGTCATAGATGGAGCCCGGGTGCAGAGGCTTCTGGGCCCTGTGCTGAGGCAGCCGGGAAGTCCTCTCTGTTACCAGGTTTGGGGAGGTCGTCTCTGCAGCTTGCTGGAAACAATAAACATCCTACACAGGTATTTACACTAGAAAGCCAACAGTCACAAGAATTCCCTTTGAGAGAAACTGTCCCCGACATTTCCTCCAGGCTCCTTGCTTTGGCCTGCCCGAGACCTGCCTGGGCCATTTGGGAAGGGAACCAGCTGATGAAAGCTCTGCTCTCTCTCTGCCTCTTCCTCTCTGTAACTGTAACTTTCAAATAAATACAATCTTTTAAAAGACATGTAAGAAGGCCACAGTTCCAGTGGAGTGTACACACGGGCTGAAACTCACAATCATATCCTAGAGTGACCACTTCATGCCTACATATTTTTTTGCATTCATATTAGCTGCCAGAGGTTATCTTAATACAAATTTTATATTTCTATATGCAAATTAATAGCATTTTAATAAGTGGTGTAAATAAATAGAATGATTAAAAGTGGAAATATTGCAAACCATAGGAATCTTATCAGTGTACTTTAGTCATTAACATTAGCAAATCCCAGAACAACAGCAGGGTGACAAAAATGTGAATAAAGACATTGAACACCCTTGACTTATGGCATAGAACAGTAATTTTCACAGTTACACAAAATCCTTATGTTTCTTTCCCCAGCTGTGGAGGCACTTGGTAAAAGCAACTGTGCAGTGAACACACAGGGAGTGTGTGTAGGAATTAAGAATTTAATTCATTTAGACACGTGTGGTCTTTGTACAGTCATAATGAGTTACAGACTAAAAGTAAATCATTTTTTAAAAAAATATTTATTTATTTGAAATGCACAGTTACAGAATGATAGGTTTTCCACCTGCAGGTTTACTCCCTAAATGGATCCAATGGCTAGAGGTGGGCCTTTCTGAAGCTAGGAGACAGGAGCTTTTTCCACGTCTCCCAAGTGGGTACAATGGCTCCAGCACTTGGGCCATTTTCTGCTGCTTTCCCAGTCACATCAGCAGGGAGTGGGATTGGAAGTGGAGCATTTGGAATAAACAGGCACCCATAGAGAATGCTGGCATCACAGGCGTCAATTTTATCTGTACACAACATGCCAGCCCACAAATAAATTATTGAATAGGAAACAGTACTTATAGCCCTTATCCAAACACATTCAACCTTGAGAATAGTATTTCTAGATAACAGAGAAAAGTGAACTAAAATTCCTTCTTATAAAGTCCATTATGTAAATAAGTGTGAGGATTGAATGAGCACCTTTAAGAAACCAATGATACTAGAACAAGTACAGCAGGGACCGGCAATATGTAGCAGGGTAACCTCCCACTTGTAAGCCAGCCCACCCGTGGAGTGTCAGCTGCCCCTCGGTCAAAGCAGCTTCCTTATGGGGTGCCTAAGAAAGCTGCACCTGGGCCCACACAGTTTCATAACTGGAATTCCCGGCTCCTGGCTTCAGCCTGGAGCAGCTTTAGTCATTTTGACAATCTGGGGAAAGAACCAGCAGATAGAAGATATTCTGTCTCTGTCTCACTCTCATTCTGCCTTTCAAACAAACAAATGTTTAAATATATAGTAATAACAAAGTGATTTCCCCTAAAGGACATTAGTAGGATTGAGAGGTAAAAACAGAAACTCTTAGAAAATAGCCACAAATTTAAAGGAAAAATAAAGTCAAACTTCAGGTCTTGAATAAGAAAATTAAGAAGCCACTAGTGAGCTCAGGATTGCCAGCAGCTGTTGGAGACGAACTTCTGATGATGTGTGTCGTCCTGAAGTTTACTTTCTGACACTGCTCAGCTGGGGAAAACGCAGCCCCAAGCACCGACTTCGCGCTGCCAGGGAGGAAACCCCATGCGCTTCACAGGAGACTCATTGTGCCTCTGGGAGGGCGATTTGGGGCTCTCCTGGGTTCCTCAAAGTGACGACGATAAATAAGGCCGTGGATGTAGCAGGCGACAAAAGTGACCAATGTCCACAGGGATGAGACGTCCTGCCAGCCTGGTCCTGATCCACAGTCAGTGCAGTGCAGCCCCAGCCTGTCCAGGATGCACCTAGTAAGGACCCTGCACCCTCAGCCTGGGGCGGGAGGGCGGCGAGGCCTCTCCCACCTGCCTGCTCCCCAGTATGCCTGCTCACACCAACTCCTTTTTGTTGTCTTCAGATGCATTCTCCATGTTTCTGTGACGTTTACCTTTATGTTCTTGTTCTTGTTGACAGTTTTTTCTTTCATCTCACTATTTGTTTTCTCGTGCTTCATTCTTTTCTTTCCCCATTGTCTGAACCTCTCCACATCTCTCACCGCCCTTGGCCACTGAGTGTTCTTTGCTTTTGCCCTATGCTCTGCTCTTTTCAGTGCCTATCTGGATGTTTAGGACACTGGAATAAATGTGCTTCTAATTTCATTTTAAAAACTCCTTTCCTACTTTTTGTTATTTTCATTTGTTTTTATGCCATCATCCATTTCTAGTCATTACTTCTTATTTCAAATTAATGTATACCCATTGTACTTAAAAAGGGTGTAGTCAATTTATGTCATCATTTCTGATTAGAGATTTTATCACATATTGTGACATTTATCCTATGTTTTTGATATATTAAACAGAGCAATTTATGTTAGAAATTCAGATGGTTTTTATTCTGACTTCGCTCTCAGTAACCTTGAAAACTCATCAAATCTTTCAGTAATTTAGCCAATGTCTCTGTGAATGTCTCCTAAAATAAATAATCCATCAGTGATATGACTGCGTTTCTTTGTAGTGACATTGAGTTTATTCAGTTTCTTAAAAGACACCCCTGAAAAAATCATGATGAATAGAAGTAGAAATGGCAGCTATTTTATTTATTTGTCTCAAAGCAAAAACATGGTGATATTTAGCCATTATATGATAGTGTTAACGTTGTAGTATTTTTATCAGAGAATTTTAAGCCTTTCTTTTGCTATATAATTTTTAGCCATTTATAGGAATAGAATTTATCACAGTATTTTATGTATCAACTGAAGTGCTAACCCATTCTTCTCCTTTAATCTACAACTATGGTGAATTTTACATGTAACCGTTATAATGTTCCCTTTACCCTTCATATGTAGGTGATCTCCTGGTCAGTTGCTGCACTCATTTTGGAGAACACTGAATTCATTTACAATCAATTCGTGTAGGTTATTTTCCATTTGATATTTGGAGTAGGTAGTCTCATTATTATGCTTTTCAACACTGTTTATTAATTACTTCAGCCTTATTTATTAATCATAATGTATCAACAGAATGCTCTTTTTCTCTCTTCAGGAAGAGTTTATTGAATTTTTTTTTTCCTAACCATGGAAGCATTTGTTGGAAATCTTTGTGAAAATGGTTTTTCTTAAGTCTGGTGTGATTGGTGTCTTCCCTTTAGGAAGTGGTACTCTCCTTCTAAAAGTTCATTAACTTTGTTATTCTTCAGAAATAACCTGAATTTTGAGTTTATGTTTCCATAATTCGTTTCACAATACATATGGATTTTTTCACTTTGTTCTTACTAAGATATGTTTATCTTTTGAACATAGTGAGAAATCAGTGTTAATGAAAAATAGCCTTTCCTTGTTGTAATTGATTATAATTGTGTTAAGATACATGTTCTGTTACATTCAACTCTTGCACTTTGTTCTCACTGGGTTCAGTAAGTTGTGGCTGCATTGATAACATGGTGATGTTACAGTTGAGAATGGAGGTTGGGCATTTGTCAGTGACTGCTGTGTTGGGCAAGGCGGTGGGTGCAGAGAATGAACTGACGTGCTCAGCTTCCTCATTGTCTGACTCACGGTTTCTGGTGGTTCTGGAGTCTCTGAAAGCCTTTGGTTCCCTCTCTTACTACAATGGTTGCTTCTCCTAGGTCTTCTTATCCTTTTACGTCTTTACACTAAACGTTGCTGTTGTTTTGTGTTCACAAACTTAACAACTTTGATCTTTTCAAAGTAGGCTTTATCATATCCAGCTTATCTGTTCCCTAATTGTTAGTTTTTCC